ATTGAGCTGGAAAATTAAATTCCGGTCGTGTGACGGACTTCCCACAAACTTTCAGAGAGAAATTGGTGTCATTTTCAAAGGGAGGACCTAGCATTGCAGGAAAATATACACACAAAAATATTATCCGTGTCCGGTCACAAAAAGTGTCGGATTGGTAATAGTTTTCACCACACAGTACATAATCAGGTATTTAACATTGCTAGAAATTATTTACTAAAGCATGCAAATAATTTCTGGCGCTACATTTCAAAATTGTGCATTTCTTATTTGGTGTGACAACCATATGCAAACTAAATTCCGTCTGAAAGCTGAGCTTCTTCGTCCTTCGACCCCAAAGGCGCTTTCTCAGACAAAAACTAGTCACGCTCCAACCTCGTGGCGACAAAGGAAGGACCGTCCAATTTGCAACCTATCCATTAATCAGTTACATAGATATTTAGTCATTGTCGCCTTCCCCTTAGTGGCAGCAGAGAATTTGTTACCAGAACGAAAACCACTAACGAGCTGGTAAGGGCAACTACGTGTCCGACTTGATAATGAAGACCGAGCCGAATTTAGCCAATTTGCAATGCGAAAAAATCCCATCGCTCTTTAAGCTTGTATAAATCGGAGGCTTCTCGTACATATTCGGTGTTGTGGCAAAATACGTATCTGTCCAGTCTACAAAATTACTACAGAGCAGTAGATTTGTATATAGATTTGTGTAAACTTTCACATGGACACCAAGAGTGGACCAATCTATCTTACGAGATTATTTTTTAGGTACACATATTTTCTGTCTAAATATCTATGTACATATATTTAATTCCAGAAAGTATTCAACATATTTTACATATAAATTAACGACATATAAAAGTTTATCGCCAAAGGAAATTATTTACAAGTTTCATTCAATTTTATTGTCAGATATTGGACTAGTATTCAGTAAGATGTTTCAGCACTAATCAATAATTTTAGCGACAATTTAATTACAAAAACACAAACATGACACTTATTAACTACATAGTTTCTGAGTTGGCAAATGGTAAATATAATTTAGTTTCCTTCCATTTTAGCTGATGGAACTGTAGCATGTGTCACTTCTTAAAGGAAGTCGGGGTGAACAACAACTCGAAAGTGAAAGTTTGTAGGAATATTTACAAGTTTCAACGTAAACAAAGACATTAACTGTCTGTATGTATATAACTTTGCTGGTTTAGTTAAAGAGCAGAAACATGCGTAAATGATAAGTTCAAATTCTGCTACAATTTTTAGGCTTAGCGTAAGTAAGTAACCATGAGCAAATTAAGAAAAAAGTGAAAGTCTGTCGGCTTCAAGTATTTACAATGGGCGTACTCAAGGCAATGTCTAACGTAGCATGGTAACTCATTTAAAAAAATTAGTAAAATAGTTTCTGCAAAATTTTTGAATTGTATGCAGTGCCGAATTTGAGATATCATGTCCATTGTACATTACACATTGTGTAAATATGCATGTGTACACACACATTACAAGGACCAAAAATTACAAAGTATGTATAGAATCTCTCTAATAGTGCACACATTTTTGCGTGCAGTACCCGACTCAAGACTAGTTCGGTGTCTTGATTTGCATATATTTATGAACTATCAAACCGCACTTGGCCATGTCACGCAATCAGAGTTAAGCACATCGCATCCATAATTCTAGACATTTAAACTCCAGAGCGTGACATTCGCATGGCCAGCTCGTTAACCGGAACAAATCTGGAGTTGATTTGCATCAAGACACGAGTGTGTGTACATGATACGATTTGCATAACTCCGAGGTACACAATTGTGCCGTGACCCTTGACTCGTAAATAAATAAAAATGCAGCTTAACGATGAATTTTATATGGCTGGATGTGACATCCTTTAACTGCTGTGATTGTAATTCATCCCTTATAAATCCTGATTTAGTACCCTGTAGAAAAGCCCTCCTTGCTCTAATTGGGTAACCAACGTGACGATGAAATGTGTGGCCTCGATGTTTTATTACTTGTTGTTGTTCCATAATTCAATTTCTCACCTCAAGCACAGGCCAGAAATGACCACCGGGTCCGATTTAAAGCCAAAACACGCACAAACATAAATAATCGTTATAAGTAGATAGAGAGCAGAGAAAAAGTATCTGGACACTAAGAACTTAGTCCTGTAAAAGGTCAAAAAATAGCTCTAAAAATCTCAAATTTTGGTATAATATGCTAAATATATCTAATGTCCCGTATCCACGAAGAAAGAAGACTTCAATCAATTATCCATTTCGTATTTAACTTGTTTCTTCACATCCGCAGTTAATGTTTTTTCGGAAGACCTTGCAACTTCATTGCTCATTTTCTGCCAGCAGAACCGAAATTTCCTTAAACTATCGACTGTTTCACGAAGCTGGGAGTATGTCTTCTTACATAGAGCCCAATATCTTTTTTTGAGGGTAAGATTATGGACGTTTGGAGGGTTTCCATCTTTCAACCGAAATCTGGCATTTTTGTCAATTTCCTCATTGACGGTTTTTACACTATGGATTGGTCTAAGGTCGGGCCAGAAAATTACATTTTATATTTTCTGATACTCCTTGCTGAAAGGAATCTGACGGACTATGTCACATTTCCGGAAACAAACCTGGGCGCCCACAGAGCCCTTTTGAACTTAGGGTCCAAAATATGCCCAAATTTACCCAACGCCAGCCAAACCTCAGGTTTTTTGAGAAATTTCGAAAAAAAACTTTAATTTCTCTTCGGTTTTCAGTTGAGACATATTTCCCATTAAAAAATCCTTCCCATAGTTTCTGTCACGTTTTTGAAGACGTAGGACTCATCGACAATGACCAACTGTTTTGGTGAAATTTTGTTGTAAAGCTTAGGTCTTGTGTTCGCCATTTTTTCTTGACATCCCGTATGGTTTGCTGGAGTTCCCTTTGCATGTGCTTTGACCCACAACTTATGGGCCTTAATATGATACAAATAGTTTGTATTAATCTTTGACTTCATGGCCGCATCAGGCCCGGACGTGGAGCGACATTTTCCAAAAATAAATTGAATCGTTTTTAACTTTCGCGGGGTCGATATGATGGTTTTTTCTTATGATGCTTATTTGAAGTTGATATTTTTGAATTCTCCATACTTTTTTATGTATGTCTTAATTTTTGCACATCCACACCCCTCCCTGTTGAAATATAGCCAAGTCTTCTTCGAGTCGTTGTCACTCAAATTTTAGTACTTCCGTAAAACTCGATTCGCGAGTTCATGGCTTTCAAATGGTGTAGGAAATTTGTCTTTGATTGAAAACTTATGAAATTTTAGAGGTGCGTGGTTACATATATTTAGAATGTTCACCAAAAATTTGAGTTCTTCAAAATCATTTTTTTGACAGTTTACAGGACCAAGTTTCAAGTGTCCAGATACTTTTTCTCTGCTTTCTATGTAAGTTCCAATATCTTTTTAATAACGAGACCCGAGTTATCTTAAGATGAATAATCTGCAGGTGTGTGGTCTCATCGCAGATTTAGGCATAAATCATGGAGTTGAAATGCGTATACCTTTACGCTTCGTATTCTGAACAATACGTTGTTTTAATTTAAAGAAATATAGCCCGGAAATTCAAAACTTCTTGGAAAGTGTGGGAATAATTAAATAACCCGTTTTTACTTTCCTACCCTTAAAATCAAATTTTCAGGAATTTCAAATTTTAGAAAATTATACAAACTCAAATACTTTTTTTACACAATTGTAAATATACACAGCCCCAGATTAATTCGGCTTCTGTGGAATCAGTGTATGCATATTCATATGTAAAATAAATTTTTGTTTTTTCACACACTCTAGAATACAACTCTCTCGTGAGATTAGTATAATTCGCTTCCTAGTTTTTTTTTAAAACGATATAAAAGCGGTTCCGATGGCATTTCTTTGTTTAAAGCGGTACGTGTCCCTTGCCCAATTTCCATGTTTGTCACAGTAAGGGTGGTAATGAAATTTAATACGGTACAAAATACAGAACATGAAATTTGGAATGATACTGCATGGTTCATATAATAAATACTATTACAAAAAAGGTTGCATGTTTTGGGTACTGATATAGCCCTGCTAAATATAAACATTTATGCCTGGTATTTGATTCCGATTCATTATGTCACACTCAAAGCGACACGATGCAGCCTAACAAAAATTTGCTAATAAATACATATATGAAGAAATTTTACGAGTACGTAAAATGTAAGAAAAATGACATTCAGCCTGACACTCTGATTCGAATCATGTAAAAAATCTCAACTAAATTGATTGTATTTAGTTCCACTATAATTTACGGAATTAAATATAATTACATTTAGTGCTTTGAAGTCTCAACTCTCAACAAATTTGATATTTTTTATTAAGTCAGCGGAAAATCGCTCCATTTGTACCTCCATATACATACTTTACTTTCACTACTAGCGGTCATACATACACAATAACATGAAATTTCCATTCTCCTGCGACTAAAAGCTTTCTACTCAATCAATTTTTGGGTAAATGAAATAATTTGATTTCTCCTATTATAAAATTGGTTCTGGTTAGAAGGCCAATTTTACCTAATTTTGGTCAGGGCGAGTGGAAGTGCGTAAAAGGAAATCAGTTAACTTGCAAATGCCAGTTTACAATCCGACGTGATTCATATGGGAATCGGACAGAATGATAGATACAAATCTCAAGTTATACAGTTTATATTTTTAACTGAAATTCACTCGCATAGCATTTCATCGTAAATTTTGTATATCTAGTTTATAAATTGCAATTGTTATATATTTTAGTGAGAAAAATCTCAAGGACTAAATTACCCGTAATTTTTCCCTTAATTTTTGTGCTTACTGGACAAATTCATGCATACGTAACAAATGCACATAGCGATCAACCAGAGTGATAGCTATTTAAGCCATAAAATGCCCAAATGTCGAACAGGAAGTATGTAGTTAACGGTGCATAGGAAGTCATAATTTTATACATGGTCAATGATTTCATTTGTTTACCTGACACAAAAGTAAGTCATCCTGCTTGAACAGTTGTCCCTATTTATCCTTGCACCTGGCCAATTATGGAGTCAGTGTAATGCATACATACATAATAAACCTAAATGACTTCCATCAGTCTCGGGATTAATTAACTTATTATAATAATTTATTTGAGTGAAACCTGATTAGTTTTTATGTAAATACTTATTTATGCGTATGTATACGTTTGCAATAATCTGCACACTTTGCTGGAACTAAGCAATCACTGTTTGTAAGATCATAGAAACACTTTTTCAAACTTTCCAAAGGTTAAGTACATACATAAACCCGTAATAAATGCTTATGTATATAGCACTGTACAAAATTTCGTTAAATAATATTTCTACAAGCAATATTTCTTTCTTTACTTAAAACAGAATTAATACGTTATTTTTGCCGGTTGGAAATTTACTTCGAAATTACAACTTCAAAACTTCGGACAACTTCGAAATTTATATTGTTAAAATGTTCTTAAATAAATCAACTTTATCATGATTCCTGATAAGCTACACTTAACATTGTCTGAAATTTCCATTTGTTTTCAGTCTCTCGTTCCAACGAGTGGCAGAGATTTTTGCATAACTAGAGACGTACAAACTCATACAATTTTAAATATCTACTGCACAAATGTTTAAAACCGTAATCACAAAATATTCTCCGTATAAGTTTTCACAAGACTACATTCTCCTTCAACTCTCAACTTTCCCAAAAAAGTCCGTCACAATTTTCCATGTACACCACAACTCATGTGAGCTCTTGTTCCATCCGCGTCTGGCGTTGAACTGGGGAGAAGTTGGTTTCGAAAAGTGGTCTCTATCCAGCCTCGCTCCATCCCAGGCGAGAAAATCCAATCCACTCCATCCACACACATCTTACGCAACATAACAATGGAGCAGGAGAAGAATATCGCACCAGGAGGACACGACCAAAAAGAGTTGGAAAAGTGAACCACAGTTGAGAGTCAACCAAACCAAAATGTACATAAACACAGGGATCGCCTCACTCCATGATGTTCCACCATACAAAATCTGTACCAACAAAATGAAGAAAATACAATTCATCACTCTCCAGGATAACGAGGGGTGGATAATTCGAGTAAGAATAGAGCAGACAAAGTCGGGATGACACCCTGTTTTTTTGTCGTGAGCGTCTAATAATTGTAATAATTTAATGGCCTTTCACCTTTGACCAGAAAAACACAATTACATAAATGATTGAATACAAACTTGCGCAACAAACTCTTTCAAATTGTCATTAGTATCTAAAAGTGCCCTTTTTTAAAAGGGAAATGTCATTTATGAAATGTTGGTTTGCCCGTTATTACCCTAAAATTCCAGGAGTCGTCCATACATAAATGTTGAGGTTTGTGGAGAACTAAATGACGCCTGGAGAAAAGGTGTATGTGTGCACTCTTAGAAATTCGGTATTAAAATAATACCAATTGGAATTCATGTATGACTCTACCAAAGTGAGATTGATAAGTAATACGGTGTAGTAATAGCTTGGTTGGTAGCAAATGTTTACGGGCCGGTATAATTTTAGTACCAAGTGGTAGCAACTTTAATGCCGAGAAACCAATACCTGCCTGACTATACAAAACTTTTAACAGTGTATGTGTTTTGGGCATGATTTTTTTCCCTTGTTGACTTTGACATGCTTCATATCGCTTGGAGTAAGTATTCAAAAGCACACATTTCATAGCTTGCTTCGTCATTGTCAGGACCAAAATATTTTGGAGACCTCCCGGAGTCCTGCCTCAACCAGGTTCTTATATTTCTTGTGTAAATATGGAAGTGCTGCCTTCATCTCGCAATCCTCAGGCTGAAACTTGACGTTGTTCACATTCACATCTCTCCTACAATATTTTTGGACTTGTGTTAGGGTCGATTTTATTTAAAAATTGGAGAAAATGTGAGATCGAGTGACCGAGTTTAGATCTCCAGTTGTTTTTCCATGTCAATTTTTTCTAACTGGAGAAAATGTGAATGGATCCAGTTTCACCTAAGGCGAGGAAAGACTCAAACTTTTAACACGAACCAAGCTATTCTCAGAAATTGAAGAAGGACACGGTTCAGAATTTTACTTCAGAAATGAAATCATTATTTTATACACTTTTACGGTGAAATTGGTTACGTAATACGGACTCGTTTTAGAGAAATTAACCTATGCAAACTATCAGTAAACGAGTAATTTAATTTCGTTAATGTGACGATTTATAAAATTAAATAAATTGAAAACACATTCATCAATGTAACCGTAAATAGGTAACGTTGATCTACATTTATTCGACCAAAACGAGGTCCAAATAACTTTAAATGGTCACAAGGGACTAGTTTAAATTCAGTTCTTCTACATACTCTCGAGGAGCTCACGCATAAAGAATGAGACACTTTTTCGCTAAACTTTGTCCCCCATCTTAAAGTAACGTATGTATTAGTAAAACGCTATACCTCCAAAATCAGGCACATGCTTAATGCACGGTCTCAAACGAGAAACTTTCATGGACAGAAATAAATGAGGCAATACTTTTTAATGCAAGTTTTACTTTCTTATCGGGTCGTTTCGTTTGCATTTAACACATACATATTTCCTTGATTTGTTATACAGGAAAAATCCCCCGTGGAGCAAATACTATTTTTATGAATAAGAGATAAAGATATATTTTATCCAGAAATCTCGAGCCCCTTACATAATAAGTCACAGTGAATGACCCTTTAGACCACTCCAGCAACACACAACTGACGCCCAATTTACCAGCATTCCCATATTTCCTAAATTTGTGAGCATTTTCAAAATCTCTAAGATCTAGCCTAGAAGAATTTTCAATTTAAAATGTTTTGATCGTGAAATTTAATGGTTTTAATAGGGTTCATTTGATTTAGGTTCTGTCATTTTTTTGCTCGCTCATGATCATTTAAGTATAAATATTGGAAACTATCGATTTTGTGAGAGTAAAAATCCATGAAAGCATTTTCATTTATAAATATTAGCAAGATAAGAAACGTCCTAATTTCTTCCCATCATGTGTGTTTAGAAATATACTTATCGACATATATTGTAAATTTGAATACATAAGTTATTGACAAGCGTTCATTCCTTCCTACATAGGCATCTACCATAGGCACAGACTACCTACATAGGCCTCCAAATCTGAACTTACACATTAGAAAAATTAAGCAAATTATCTAGTTAAGATTTTTTGCGAGCTTCATTCCCTCTGGACTTTTTGCTCCATTTAAAGCTAAATTTAAATTTTGTTTTCACTCGCCTTATAGCCAATGTAATCCTTCTGTTTAAATTGTGTAAACTGGTAAGAGAAAAATTTCCTGTTTTCTCACTGTCTCAGCACAAGAAACCTGATCACACTGAAAACATTCAATTGTCGCATGTTTTCTTTGTCATCGAATTACACAAAGGACACGAAAACAAGGAAAAGCTTCGAGGAATGGAAAACATTCTCAAGTTGTGTTAGCTTATTTATCTTTATCTCGAGCAATAAAGATAAGCCACGTGGAGGAAAAAATGGGACAAAAATCACGAAATCTGACACCGACTAAACGAAAGCAGAATCGCACACTTGTCAACTTCACATAGAAAATCTCATATTCCGACATCACCAACCTTTACACACCTACAAAGTTGAGATGTACTCAGGAGGATTTAGTTACATAAAAGCTTTAAAAGATAAGTTGACATCAAAACTTGAAAGTTTGAACTGTATTATCTAAAGATTGAACATTTCGTAAAACAACAAAGTCTTACATAAGTGGATTCAATGTTTAACTTACAAATAAAAGTGTCGGCTCTCTTCAAACATTTTTGTTTTGGCTGAAGTACATTACTCCAAAAAAGTTAGTATTCAACTTTTAACAAAAAGTCAAATTTGTTAAAAATAGGGTTAAATCTGGAGTATCCAAATTCGACCAGGGCTCGAAAATGCAAAATTCGGACATGACGGAGGAAATAAAACTGAGACTCTTGACGAAAGATTAAAATCCTAAAAATCCCGATTCGTTGACAGCACTAATCTGCAGTTTGTTGATTTTTGCACTGCAAGTAAAATTGTGTGACTCCGGTTTCGTTTCCAGTTTAATTTATGCATAAAATGGGTACAATACGAAATTAGATTACGTTTTCACGCCAAATGCAAACTTTCAATCAAAATGTCAACCACAAGATTAAGCCTGATTTCTTTCCTGGTTGGATTGTGAGCACGTAATGTGATGTAATTCGCAGTAATCTCTCCAGCCACAACTACACTAAAATGCTATGCAGGACTTAAAACTGCATTAATTGACTTTAGGAATGCACTAAATAAATTCTACCTTAGGAAAAGAACTTTGTGGCAAAGTGAGAATTGCTTGATTTAAACATCGAAATTTTAGCAAATTATTTGAAATTTCAGAAGCATTTAATTGAGAGGATGATTTTGAGCCCAGTTCCTGGACAAATTTATGAAATACTGATTTTCCATTAAAAGTATTAGGAAATCTCACAAATTTCTAAAACTTCTCAAGTTATTTTGGCATGTTCAATTTGCCAGATATGAGAGGTACAAATACATACTTACATATTGACTGTACGCTCAAAATGTATGTAAAATTTGCACATTATTAAACATCAAGCTCAGGTGTTTATCAAGTTTTGAACTAAATGCTGCCTTGATTAATCTGCAATCATACATATTTACCAACCAAGAAGTCAGTATCATTCAAACTTCCACATATATTTCAAACAAAGACAGAATAACGATAAAAGAAAATACACAATAGCGTTGATTATCGTCTCAACCTAGGTAAAGACTTGCATTGTTCTGCTGACTCAGAAATGCTCGAAATGGACGAATCAAACCAAATAAAACTCCATCTCTCCCCAGGCATCACTTAATCCGCAGAGATTTCATAACAATGAGACAACAACAGATTCAATAAGGGGCCGTGCAATCATAATGCGATTAATATGTCGGATCGTGCTCTCTTTGCCACACTAGTTATTCTATAGCCAAGGTCAGAGGTCAAATTTCTCCCCAAATCTATCACATTCTTTACGCACGGTTTCTGAAATCCAAAGTCAAGTGAATTTTTCCCCATATTTCATAAATTTTAGATCGCTTTTCGAGATAGAGGAGACCAACAAGGATGAAAATATGAGTTCGTAAAATATCAAGCAGTGTGTTTTCATTTCGTGTGGTCTGGCCCGTACCGACGTGATGTACATGAGTACATAGTGGATCTATCCCCCAGGAGGAAAAAAGATGAATTGATAGCAAAAGCCATAAGTCATGTTCAACACCTACACAAGCACTTGAGGCTCGATCTTGAATCGTGGAGACGACGCCAGCAAAAAAAATAAGAATATGACGAGAAACGCAAATATTATTGTAGCCTTCAAGCTATAAAATGTGTTGATAATTCCCTAATTTAAATTGAAATGCTTGTGTACATTTTAAATTGTAAGAAACAATTGCGAATTTTGGCAATAACTGAACCAAAACGGCGCAGTGAAGCTGATTAACAAGAGTTATGGTCAATGTTGGGCTAATTGGAGGTAACAATGTGCATATGTACAGACTATGTATGTACTTATTGTACCTGCTTATTTCAGCTTTCATGCTTATCACGCCGTATTTATTTATTGTTCCTGTACATCCTATAATTTTCTGCATAATGTCGAGCCATTTGTCACTTTCTCGCCATTAAAACACACGCAATCTTGTCCAGTTGCAAGTGATTTGAACAATTTATTGCATTTTGTATGTACAAAATACCAACTCGATTTTATTTAGT